CAAGTTTAATGGTTCGGTGGTGGTCGGTTTAGTTGTGTGGTACCTAAACAAATTGCCGAATAACAAAGTATTGAGCATCATTGTCAGTCAAGGAAGTAAAAATTTATTTGACTTATAAATATAGAAAACCCTACACCATGACCTTAATACTCCATTTGTCCTAGACCTTATATCTGAAATTTTTTTTCAAATTCCATCAGAACGTTATAAATCATCCAAGGCCCAGAGATCTTTTGTAGTATATATCTTGTAGTTCTGGCAATGGCCAGATTCTCCACTCAAGACATGAGTGTGTGTGGCTATAGCGCTCTCGCACAAACTCCATTGGGTTTAGCACCAATGATGCGGTTGAAAGAGTAGAGCAGGGATCTCTTGGAGTCCTGCTTTTCCTTCTATAGTTGGACTAACTTTTTCCAAATTCCATCAAAACCTCATATATCATCCAAATCCACTTGCACAATCCCTATCTAGATCTACCCATCCCTCGAAGTTTAAAGCGGCAATGACCAGATTCTCCACTCAAGCCATGTATGTCTGGTTATAGTGTCTCTGCTCAACCTCCATTGGTCCTTAATACCAGTGATGCGGCTGAGTGAGAGGCGCTGGGATCTTCTAGTGTCCTGCCTTTCCTTCCACGATTGGGGGGAAAAGGCTTAGCTTGGACATCTTGAGTGGTAGAATTTTGTAAATATTGTATAAAAGCACGTATATATTTAAGTAGTTATATTGATTAGTATAGTTTTTTTTTTTTAGTTCAGTTTCTTTTAGTTTATATACATTTACTTTTAGTATTATTATTTGTCTGTTTGTTTATTTTTATTTATTATACATAGTGTTAATTAGCTGCTCACTATTACTGTTGTACTTAGATGTGACATATTGTAATATATCTCAACAAACAATTAAAAAAAATAACTTTTTTAAGATGATTGGACAACTATTTAATATTAATGCTTATGTTTATAGTGCAGAAATTAAGAATCTAGTAAGCAGTTATATTTATTTAATAATTTAAATAGTAACTTATTTCTAAATTATTTTTTTTGTCTATAAAATATATATTTGCGCCGGTCAACTATAAGTTGACAATCAGCAAATGTGATGGCGATAATGATATAATGACATGACAGGCATGGGGAAGGAAAGTACTCAGCAGTACCTCTTCCCTAACTTGTTCCAATTACTTAGGTTGTCTAAGGAAGGAGATCCCTCATCCAACGCCTTTTTAGTCTCCTCTTCATGTTCTGAGGTATGTCAGCTGTGGCCATGTCTCTTATAAGTCTGTTATTATGTCCATTTAAATTTGTGTAAAATCGTTGATATAGGGTCGTTATATGTTGGTCAACTGTTGGAAAGTGGAGGTCAGTATATAGAGTTTTGTTAGTCACGTACCAAGTGTTATGAGTCGCAATAATTTTGATTGGAACGTTTGAAGTTTTTGCAGGTGGGTCTGTTTTGAAGGATAGTTAACACTTCGTTTTATGTCTTGTTGCTCTGTCGAACTTTCGTCAAGGATGCTATGACAAAAAAATGTATCCTTCAATATAACCAGACACAACATACTACTTTCTTTCTTCTTATTTCTAAATTTAAAATATTATTTGGCAGAAATACGATTTAAAAAGTTACATAAAGCATTACATCTTTGTCTAAGGCTTGATTAAAAAAAACAAATTAAATTACGCATTTTTTTTTTTTTTTTGGTGTCCTAAAAATGTTTAGTTTTTGTTCTTTCAGGCTTTCACAGTGTGCCTATCGATATAATTTGATATGAAATTAATACAGATTTGAGAATACTTAAAATATAAGCTCAAGTTGTATCTCGGCTAATCCATCCTATTAAAAATAATAGGCATTATCTTTTTTCTTCTTGAATATTATATTTTCAGAAATAAGTTATTATTTTTAATTTAATTCATATAGCAATAATGAAACATATTATCATCGCCCGTTTGGTGCTCTATCGTATCGTCCATCCGGCGGAATCATTGCGTTCGATGACACAGGGAAATGTCATTTTACAAAAATATTTTATCGACGTCACATAGTTTACTAAAAGCCAAATTAAAATTAATAGAAGAGGTGCAATAGATTTAAATAATATTTTACTTAAACAATAATAATTGTAAAGATTTTGCACCTCCAACAGTGTATAATTTTATGATTTATATTTAGCTCGTGCCGAAATATCGTCGGCTTATTGTAAAAAAAAATCATAAACAAGATGAGGCTGCAGTCAGTGGGTTTCCGATTTCAACCAACTTTTTTTGGTGATATTACAACAAAAAATATTGGGCAGAGATCTCGTCGTTCGTTCTAATGGTCTTCAGGAGCCGAGAATAAAATATTTATGCCTTTGTTTCACCTTTGTACAGCAATAATCAAAATAGGGAAATATTAAGGAAGTGAATGAAAGAGTGAATGAAAGAGAAAAAAAAAATATATATATATATATATATATATATATATATATATATATATATATATACACATATAAGTAAGTAAAAATAGAAATAAAAGTAAAACAAAAATCTTATATAAAACATACCTATATACATTATTTACAATTCGCCAGATGATCTCCGAAACAATCCGGTCCCCTCCACATGTGGAGGGAAAAGGGAGGCTTAGGAGATCCCTACGCTTCTCCCTCAGCAACTTCACTGGTATTTAAAACCAGCGGAGGATGAGTAAGAGCGCTACAGCCACAGACACTCATGACTTGAGTGGAGAATCTGGCCATTGCTAGAACTCCAAAATATCCATATTTACAAAAGGTCTCGTGGCCACTGCCGCTTTAACCTACGAAGGGGATTGTAGGAATGGGTGGTGCTTGATAGGGATTGTACAACGGGATTTGGGTGATGAGAAAGGTTCGGGTGAAATTTGGAAAATTTGGCTGAGATAAAATCAAGAATAAATGGGATATTAATTTCATTACGCAGGGTTTTATTGGTTACATTGAAGGGAGCATCGACTATTGTACGGAAGACTTTAGACTGAAAGGATTGAATGCGTTTGATGTTAGAAAATTTAGCTGTTCCCCATAGTTCTAGTCCGTAAGTCCAGATGGGTTTCAGTATTGTCTTGTAGATCAGTAATTTGTTTTCACCAGAAAGTTTAGATTTTCTATTCAGTAGTCTATATAGCTGGCCATATCGTCTGTTAAGTTCCTGTCTTTTAAGTCTAGTATGTGGATTCCATGTTAGTCGTCTGTCTAAGAGAAAGCCAAGATACCGGACTGTATCTGAGAAAGGAAGCTGAATGGAGTTAAAATAAACTGGTGGGCAGGTATTACGCCGAAGGGTGAAGGTAATGTGTTTACATTTAGATTCGTTTACCTTAATGCGCCATTTCTTACACCAGTGTTCAATCAGGAAGAGGTGCCTTTGTAAGTTTGCGGACGCTGTTTCAGGATCTGAGTTGGAAGAAAGGATAGCAGTGTCATCAGCGAAAGTTGCCAGGAGGGTATCAGGATGTACGGGAATATCAGCGGTAAAGATAATGTAAAGGATGGGGCCCAAGACGCTGCCTTGAGGAACGCCAGCCTCAATTGAGTAACAGTCGGAGAATTCGGTGCCACAGCGAACTCGGAAGGAGCGGTCGGAAAGATAGGATCGGAGTACTAGGTATAAGGACTGTGGTAGGTGGATTTTAACCTTGAAGAGTAATCCGGCGTGCCATACCCGGTCAAAAGCTTGCGTTATGTCCAGAAATGCACCCAAGCAATACTGCTTACTTTCTAGGGTTGAGGATATATGGTCAACAACCCGGAGTCCTTGTTGGACAGTGGAATGGTCAACTGTTGTAAAGTGGAGGTCAGTATGTTTTGTTAGTCACGTACCAAGGTGATTTTGTTATGAGTCGCAATAATTTTGATTGGAACGTTTGAAGTTTTTGTAGGTGGGTCTTTTTAGCGATGCCGTATATTTGTGATGAGTATGTCCGTATGGGTTTAAGTAAGTATGTATATGTATTCAGTTTTAGTTTTGAAGATTATGAAAAAAGAGAGTAGAGTAGTTTGAGTCGTTTGTTAAGTGTCTTATGTTTCATTTTAACATGCGGACCCCATGTCATCTTCTGTCAAGTGAGTCCAAGTAAAGTACCGTGTCCGTTTGAGGAATTTGATTGTTGTCAATATAAACTGGAGGGCAGGTGTTTTTTCGAAGATTAAATGTTGTATGTTCGGATTTGTCATGATTAAGTCGAATTTTCCATAGTGTGAAATTTATGTATTATTTTCAATAGAGTTCATGGCGTCATTCGTAGCTGCTGACTTTATTTAAACATTTACATCATAAAATTGAAAATAAAAAATATCCAAATTTAGATACCATGCAGTTAGTTTGAAAGCCGATTTAATCCAATTATTTTTCAAAATATTTTTCTTTTTAAAAGTTCTCAATGCACTGAATCTCCTAGAAAATCCGTATTGTACCCTGGAAAAGTATTATAATAAATTGACTCGCTTATTAATTATAGAACGGTAAACTTGTTCTATAAAGTATGTCACTAAAAACTCATAAATACTCCTTTGCTTTCCGTTTGAATCTTAAGATATTTTCGATCACGAAATCGAGAGAAAAATGTTGCCTTAAAAATATTGGGCCATTTGACGCGACCACTACGGCAACATGTAAAAGACCAAAATAACGAGATTATCTAAACCAATATTCTTTGAACTATTTCGAACTCAAATTATCTGACGATACGATCAGAAAGCAAATGGGTATTCGCGAGTTTTAAGAAGCTTAAATTAATTATTACAGAGAGAAAATGCCCGATTTCTGAGAATTTTCGTAGATAAGAAGGTTTTAGGTTACGACAAGATAAGTCACTCAAGAAGTGTTAGATGGATGTTAAACTTAATAATTTAACATAAACGTGTCTGTACTGCGAAATAGTAGACTTGATATTTTTTTCGTATGAATTTGAAGATATTGTCTGCAGTTGAAATGAGGAAAATGAATTATGATTCGTTCACGGCCTTCCCCATTATCATGCCAAAACATTATTCACTTTCTGCGGACGACTGTATTCGATACGACATGTATATATATATATATATATATACGCCTGCAGTCAGTTCTTTGCACGACTTCTCTAGAATCGACTACTCAGTGCTTAATAAGGCTGTTTGCATCTTGTTTCTAATCATGTCGTTCTCTCTGATCTGTATTCTTTTCTATCTTTACCACCTCGTTCTCACTGTAAGTATACATATATATATATATATAAATTGTAATTATATAGCGTGATCATAAGTATTGAGTTTAAATTTATATTGATATTACATATCATTTAATGACAATAAAATTGCGCTTTCGAGCAGTACAAGGAAAAACAGAAATGGATACATATGTATATATTGTAGTTATAGATGCAGATTTAAGGGGTGGTGGGGATACCCCTTCCCCAATAAAAATAGTTAGGGGGTTAGAATAATTTTTTGTCCCTCCCCTCCCAATAATTTAAAGTAAAAAAATTAATAACGAATAATTTTTACGGACGAAGGGTGTCATACTTCTATTGTTGATATCGTATAAATATATAAATATAGAGAATGTTTTTATATACACTTTTACGGAACTAGTAGTACTATAAAAACTGTTTTTATTAAGATGTTTAATAAACTAAGGAATAAGATATATTTTTTTTTTTATTTTAAAAAATTCTAGAAATGTAAAGTTATGGAGGCTGTCTTTTACACTCCATATTCGTATGTGCCTATTCTACGTACGTATTCTTACGATTTAAAAAGAAAAACGCTGCAAATTATTTCACAAAGGTTTATTACTTTCCTAGTGACAAAGAAAAAGAAATAAATGGTGATTCCAATTATTGCATTAAACAATTTTTTTATTTTAATCATACTTTAGTAACACATTCAAAATCAAAAACCAAAACAAAGGATATAGGACATTTGCAGTAGAACATATAAAAATAATAATTTAAAGTAAAAAAATTAATAAAGAATAATTTTCACGGACGAAGGGTGTCATAATTTTATTGTTGATATCATATAAATATATTAAAATATAGAGAATGTTTTTATATACACTTTTACGGAGTCTACACTTTTATAGTACTATAAAAACTGTTTTTATTTAGATGTTTAATAAGCTAAGGAATAAGATATTTTTTTTATTTTAACATTAGTCATTTTTAGTAAAGAAATTCTAGAAATGTACCTAGGTTATGGAGGCTGTCTTTTACACTCCATATTCGTATGTGCCTATTCTACGTACGTATTCTTACGATTTAAAAAAAAAACTCTGCAAATTATTTCACAATGATTTATTACATTTAGTGTTGCCCGAAACCAAGGTCGCCTAACTGTTGCAAGACCAAGACCAGGACTGGTAAAAAAAATTGATTTTTTAAATATAAATTAAGGCAAGATATTTACTAATACTCGACAATTTTAGTTACTATATGTTAATATTTGGTATAACCAATATACTTTTGCATTTAACTCATCTAGTTTTTCATTCGTGCTTAGTCAGGTTTCTCCTATCTAAAAAAATACAGTAAAATCTCTATAGTAAGAAGCTAATAAGTAACTGCAAGACTGTTGGGAGACTCTTGCGCAAGACCAAGACCATGACCAAGACTGAGTTTTCAAGACCAAGAATCGTCTCGGTCTCGCATTTGGGCAACACTAATTACATTCCTAGTGACAAAGAAAAAGAAATAAATGGTGATTCCAATGATTGTACTAAACATTTTTTTTATTTTAATCATACTTTAGTAACACATTCAAAATCAAAAACCAAAACAAAGGATATAGGACATTTGCAGTAGAACATATAAAAAATATCTGGAGACCATATTTGTGTTCCAAATTTTCCGATCTTAACGATTTTTTTTTTTAGTTAATGCTATAAACATTTAAATAACCATGTATAATATCGACAAAAAATTGTACACTTTTTGAGTTATTGGGAATCTAATTTTACCATCCCTCGTAACTTTTTTTCCAGCTTCTTTTCGTTGAAGTATGTTTAGCTTGACCCGTTGTAGGCAGGCTACATTATAATATATATCGCTATATATTTACTGAAAATTTTGACTGTTTGAGTTTTTATCTATTTTTCAAAATTATTAACCCTCAGACAAACTGTTCTAGCCTGTATTAATTTTTTTTTTAATATATCCTCCATTGTTTAAATTATTTTATTTACTTGGTCCTACATCTTTTCTTCAACGATTAATTTTTCAGTGGTGGTGTGGTTCACCTTATTTCATTATTATTATTATTAGATTTTAACATGTGTGTGTGTAGTAAGTATTTTATACTAACATTTTTTTCTTCCTTTCTGTTTTAAAGTTAATGGTCATTAGTTCTAAGCATTTAAAGGCCATCGAGAAAAAGACTTTAGCGAAGTCTTATTGAAACCGGTACTGTCTTTTAGGCCCTTCAGTCTATAGCCTCCCAGATTTTTCGGTCTCTATCTTAAAAGGAAAAGCCAGATAGACGGTTAAGGTTATTTTCTAGATAGAACAACAATGACCAACTATACTTTTCTTTAAAGTTAAACCTAATTAATTCCCAGTCCGCTGGTGTTCCTCAAGGTAGTATCCTAGGTCCTATCCTCTATACAGTTCATACAGCTGACATCCCTACCTGTCCCAACACTGTCATCACCACATATGCCGATGACACATGTATCCTATCAGTAAACAATGACCCAGCAATTGCATCCCAAATGCTTCAATCACACATCATAAATCTAGAAGAATGGTGTCAAAACTGGAGAATTAAAATAAACTCCAATAAATCCCACCAAATTACCTTTACTCTTCGTCGTAAACCAACGACTTCCTGTCCTACAGTTTTCTTTAACAATACTCCACTTATCCCTGTTGAGCAAATTAGATACCTAGAACTCCACCTGGACAAGCGACTAACTTGGAATCCTCATACCAGACTGAAACGACAAGAAACCGCTCGACGTTTCCGACTACTCCAACACTTACTAGACAAACGCTCTAAACTTCCAATTAATTACAAAAGACTAATATACTTGACTATAATAAGGCCTATTTGGACTTTGTCACTAATAAAATTATCCATAAAGATCTTAATGTTCCTTATGTTTCAGATCTGGCCCCATCCAGATACCTATCCTTCCATAATAAACTTCAGAATCATCCCAACCGTCTCGTGTCTAACCTTGCTTCCTCTTCAATTCCTGATAACCCTTCGAGGCGTCTGAAAAGAAGATGGCCCCGTGATCTCCTAATGTAGTCATATCATTAGAGTGCTACCGTTGGGTAGTTACTCAGCAAGTGTATTAATGTCATTATATCAATTATGTCCAAATTTACTTGATGTATTTATGTAATACAGTTGTAAACGTCATAAAGAAATTTAAAAAAAAAACTAATTAATTATATTAAATAAAGTTTTAGTTGTCGTCTCCTATTTATCTAAAACTATTACTTACTTTAAAAAAACACAAAACATAAATTTCCTACTATTTTGCCGAAAATCGGTCCAATATTTATTTGAACTTTTTTGTAGCTCCCGAGGTCTGATTTCACCTGTTAAAATATTTCTCTCTACTTATGGAATTATGATGAAAAAAAACATCTGAAATATTCCATAATTTAATGAAAACATAACTTAGCGTAGTTTTTTGGACCCTCACAAGTCCCCTTTAAATGGTTTTGACAAAGATAAACTCTACGTGTATTTGAAGAACAGTTTGTGTAGTTTAGCATGAATTAAGGTTTATTAAAATGCTTTCGGGCTGAATCTCTCCTCAAAATGGTAAAATATAATCAGGTCCTATGAAAAAAAATATTTAAAAATTACCTTCAAAAGTATTCTTGTTCCTGTAATTATATTTTAAAAGGACTTCAAGAATTACAAGAAACATCATTTCATGAAGGTTGTTTGTTTTTTCCTTTTTTCACCAATGTAATCATCAATAAAAATATATATATATATATATATATATATATATATATATATATATATATATATATATTTCTTATTTTTTATTGTAAAGTTTACTAATTACGAGATTTTCATTGTCTGACATGCATATTGCAGGTATAATACAAAATATTGATATTATTTTTTCTAAAATTCTCCTCGTTCCAACAATATATTCGTATTCTGATTGATTATTTCCGAAGTTTCAATTTTAGCCTGGATAAGCATGTTTCATTTTTTCTCCAGTTTTCAATAGTCATATTCCTTCAAACTTTATAGTTAGCCATTTTTTTTTTTTTTTATTGGTACTGTCAATAAAAGAGAGTTAATTTGTTTAAACAAACAATATTAAAGGTACTTTAGAGAAAGACTTATATGAACATTGGACATTTAAGTCCTGTAAAATGACATCAATGGGGATAAGACCTAAATGATATTAAAGACTACTTAATTATATAATGATACGTCTAGTTTAAACAAAATCATTGGAACCATTTTTGAGAAAATTGTAATAATGTATTTCGCGGATGATATAAAGTGGCACTTCTGGATAGCCAATTTAAAAACTAAATAAATCATGGGTCCGCTACTTCAAAGAACTATGATTTATTTTGCTTATATACTCACATATTTTTTAAATCTCTAGTTTATTATTATTATTATTGTTTTCTCATCAATTACATTCTCTGTCATTTTATAACAACTGTAAATTTATTTCCTGTACAGTTCTGCATAATATTTGATTCGCAAATGTAGCGCCATGAAATAATTTTTAAAAAATTGTTGCCTTTAATTTAACTTTTTTTTTAGGTGGAGAATGATGGAATGGAGATTATCAATAATGGGAATGATGAAGATTGCTGGAGTTATAAATTACATGGTTTTCTATCAAGTGATAATGCAAAATGTGAGGATATTGACTACAATAGAGATGGGTTAAATAATTCTATTCCAGAAAAAAATTCAGAACTTTTTCTTGGCGAGTCAATAACTATTAATGAAAACAACGAATATCATAGTAAAACAAATGTTCACGATGCTGCAATACATACTGCATTGCGAAGAGGGGGCCTGGAGATCGCTAAAACAATTATTGAAGACACTACCGATGTTAATATCAAAGGTCTGCATGGCCAGACACCTTTACATTTGGCCGCTTGGAGGGGAGACGAATCTCTTGTGAATTTTCTGATATCAAAAAATGCAAATTTAAACGTTTTAGACGATTGCGATGACACTCCTATTCATTACGCAGTACGAGGAGGACATCTCAATATAGTTAAGAAACTTCTCGATCATGGCGCTGATATCAATATTAGAGATACTTTTGGTATGACACCGCTGTTCATCGCTGTTGGTTTTTGCGATGAGTCTATAGTAAATTTATTATTGTTAAATAATGCGAGTGTGAATATACAGGATTGGGATATTTACCATCCCCTGAATTTAGCAGTAATTAGAATGAACATAAACATAGCTAAAGCTCTTCTTAATAGAGGAGCTTACGTCGATAGTCGGAGATATTTTGGAAACACGTCTTTGATAAACGCTGCTGAGAAAGGTGATGAAGCTATGGTAAAGTTATTGCTGTCAAATAATGCTAGTGTGGATGAAATGGACATGAATAAAAATACTGCCTTGTATTACGCAATATATGCAGAGAACATAAACATAGCCGAAGCTCTTCTCAATCATGGAGCTAAAGTCAATATCCAGAATATATTCAAAGAAACACCGCTGATTATCGCTGCTATGAAAGGTGATGAAGCTATCATAAATTTATTGTTGTCAAAGAATGCAAGTGTGAATACAAAGAACTGGGCTGGTGATTCTGCCTTGCATTTTGTAATTTATAAAAAGGACACAAACATAGCCGAAGCTCTTTTCAATGGCGGAGCTAACGTCAATAGCCAGAGAAAAAACGGAACCACACCTTTGATGTCGGCTGCTTCGAATGGCGATGAAGCCATGGTGAATTTACTTCTTTTAAGAAATGCTTCTATGGAAATAAAAGACGGTTTCGGTAACGGCGTAATACACTTTGCAGCTCAGGGTGGAAACAGTAAAATTATTGAGATATTTCTTAGACACGGTGCGGATGTCAATAGTGAAGGGGAACATGGTGAAACGCCTCTACATTTTGCAGTTCGGAATGACGATACAATTTTGAAAGATGACGAATTTGAAAATAAAACAGTCTCTGTAATGAAAACCCTCTTGAAACACGGAGCCGAACTGAATGCACAAAGTTATCTGAAACAAACAGCGCTCCATAGAGCCGCTGCTGGAGGTTATGCTGGAGTCGTTGACTACCTGCTGTCCCGGAACGGCAGCTTGAGTATCGAAGATTATCTTTGCTTCACCCCATTCCAGTGGGCAGCTAGTATTGGAAATGTTAAAGTGCTAGATACTTTGTTAGAACACGGGGATGATGTCAATAGGAACGGATGTAATGGTGTCACAGCTCTTCACATGGCAATTAGAAGGAATGACACTGCTTTCATTGAATATCTTCTATCCAAGAATGCTGATCCAAATATAATGAGCGAAGACGGACAGACCCCTTTGGATTTAACTTTTGATCCTTTATCTGAAAAATTTATGAAATTACTTCTTGCTCATGGAGCCAAAGTGGAAGATAATAGTTTCTTAGGATCGAAAATTCTTTTCGATGCGGTTTCAAATAAATCAATAGAAATTGTAAAGCTCTTGTTGAATAACACTAAAAACTTCAACTCCTACCCAACAGCTATTCTTAACCATGCCATTGGGACGCGGTTTTCAGAAGGAATCGATTTGCTCATCTCTCACGGAGCGGACGTTGTGGAGAAAGACATCCATGGTAATCTCCCCCTTACTTTAGCAGTTATGTCAAGAAGTATGGCATATGTGAAATTAATTTTAGTAACAGGATCGAGTAAAATCAGCAAGAAGAATTTTCAATTTTTTTTGGATGCCAACTGTGACGTAAGGTTTTTTACATCAATTAACAGCATTATACAGATCCATAATGCGACTGCGCTGCATGTTGCTTCCTATTACGGTCTCAAGGATCTTGCCGGACTATTGATATCATACGGCGCTTCCTTAGAAGTTAGAGATAGACCATTAAGATATTCACCACTTCATTACGCATGTGAGAATGATCATGTGGAAGTTGTGAAACTTCTGTTGGATTCTGGAGCCAACAAAAGTCCTGCCGATATTAACGGTACCACTCCCCTACACATCGCCTGCAGAAAAGGTCTACTTCCAATTGCTAAATTACTGCTTTCTGATCCACCAGCTGCTGTAAACCAAGCAGATGACAGTGGATACACGGCTCTTCATTTGGCTTCGATGAGCGGATCTCTAAAAATAGTCGCATTGTTATTGACTCTTGATGCCGATAAAGAAGCTAAAACTATTGATTTCAAAACTCCACTGCATTTAGCTTCCCGCGAGGGTCATGAGGCAATAGTGCACATCTTATTGAAAAAAGGAGCTGAAAAGGATGCAGCTGACATTGATGATATGACCCCATTACATTTCGCCGCAAGAGGAAGACACTTGGATATAGTGAAGAAAATTATTTATTATAAAGTTTCCGTCAATAGCAGAAACAAAAACGGCAGCACACCATTACATCTGGTGTGCGATGGGAGATACAAATCTGAACGATATACTTTCCATGAAGAAGATATTGTGCGCACTTTGAACGATCACGGTGCAGATATACATTCGAAGGACCACAACCAAATGACCCCGTTACATATTGCAGCAAGAAGCAATTCCTCAGATATCACAGAGCTCCTTATAAAAATGGAAACATACACATTCAGTAGGGATAGGTTGCTCAACATACCTATGCATTACGCCGCATTATTCGGCCATTATGAAGTAATAATCAATTTATTACAGCTAAGATCCGATTATCATTATGACAAAAAAAATTCCTTGAGGCAAACTATATCTGTGAACATTTATAAAGAAACCCCTTTGTTCTTGGCTGCCAGAGAAGGGCACACTAAGGTGGGAGCTTTGCTCTTGCAGGTCGGAGTCGAAAGTCTTCAGCCTGACATCAATGAGAGGAATGCTTTGCACCGCAGCGCTGCCAGAGGACACTTCGAAGTAGTGAAACTCCTTCGTCAGGCTCTTTTAAAAATAGAAAACAAAGATAAGTGGGGGCTCACTGCTTTGAACTACGCAGCTTCTTGGAAAGGACATCAGGATGTTATAGGATACCTTTCGGCTACTCAATTAAACATCACAATATCATATTATTTAAGTAAATCAAATCCTCTGCAACCTAACTTGGATAAGATCAGCTCAATACAGGTGAAAAAAATTCCTGGCATAAAATTGGGAATACCTTATTTTTTTAAAGTAAACTCAGGGAAGTTTCGGTATATTTATTCACCTTAAAATATATAAAAACAACTATCTAGCTATATTTAAATTAAATAAATTTTAAAATTATTAGTCCTATTATTTCTCTATTTTTTAAAGTTTATGTGTGTTATTATATTAATTACGAATTTTTAGACGTATGAACAGGCATTATATAAATGGAACCATTGATGAAGACATAAGAGAATTTCTTTCTATTTTGTATATTGATGGAGTTCTGGTAATGCCTTAAAGTGCTCTCGATCAATCTCCGTTGCTTTAGTACCAGTGATGCTGTTGAGAGAGTAGCGCAGGGTTCTCCTGGAGTTCAGCTTTTCCCTCCATAGTTGAAGGGACTAGTCTGCCTCGGAGTTCCCTCACCTGATTGAAAATAGTTTTTTCTTTTATCATTCGTGATTTTTTTTTTTTTTTTTTTTTTTTTTGTTAAACTATTACATACTCCTAATATTGTTTGTTTTCATTATCGTTTTACTAAATAAATTACTAATCTTTGTTTTAATAATGAAGCGATGGTTAACAGTGTGAATAACTGAAGAGAAATTGGTTGTGTGTTCAATCAAATGATATTAATTTTTATATTTGCCGACGTTTCGGTCATAAGTTCGGCCTTCATCAGGGCTGGACTAAGAAAAGGTTCCCGCAAGACATATTTTTTTCTAAGAAATCTTTTTTTGTTTTACTATAATATACTGAACATTTTTAAAACATCCACATAGTCATATTGTCAATACGTGTAAATTTAAACAATTTTTTAATTAACAGATCATTTTAGTTTTGTTTTCTGGTAATTAAATAAATTTTTATATTATGTATTTTCGGTATCTAAGTATATATATATTTTTTTTCTGGTGATTGAAAGAATTTGTATATTATACATTTTTGGTTGCTATGTATGTATTTACTGTTTTCGTTTTTTTAAATGGATGTTTTGAAAAAAAATAATCTAAGATTATAATATTAATTTTCTGTACAACTTTGTTAATCTAAACAAGAAATAAAGTTATTTTTATTCAATTCTGTCTCAATAATGGTAAACTTCTTAGGGTTGTAAAATATTACCTGATAATAAATTTCCTAAATCACGTGTTTTTAATATTAATTGGAATTATTGTCTGTATATTATCAACAATATTATCGATTGTCTGTATTCAGTTAAAGATATCAAGTGGTTTGATTAAAGATTTTAACATGAACGTGAAGAATATGGACATGAACATCTTGATTTTAACAATTAAGATGAATCTGTAAATCTGTAGAGAGAGTTTAAGCAATTTTCATAATAACATAACATAGTTAGAATATCTCAGCGGCTGATTTTTTAAATGAAAAAAAGTGTTAAAAAATTATATATAATTATTTTTTGTGTATTATTTATAGTATTTGTAAGACGGGTGTCAAGAAAAATAATGAATAATTCCTGAGCTTCTGCGAGTATATTACGTTCAACAATATATGCATCATGTTCAACATGCATGGAATTAAATAAGCTAAATTACTAACTACACTAAATAACATTACATAACAATAAATATAATAGAACTCACTAATAAAACAATCTATCAAAATAATGTGCATATAAATAACTAAAATAACATGCGCATGCTAGCTTGATATACTTCTATATAATGAAACATAATAGTTAGCTCCAGAAATAAATATGATAAAACATTTACACAAGCAATAAATGGTCTAACTCCCAACCAGACGTCAGCCTCTAGAAGGTATCCTATTCTTTGGCGTCCTAGTAAGATGTCCCCACTGAAAAGAAACAACTATATAATTTCTCTATGTCAATCGATTCATAAGGTCGATATTCGATAATGATGATATGATGATAATGATAATCGATAATGATAATGACCCCTCATTACTGAACTACACAAGATAGTTCAGTTTGCATGTGAAATGTATCAGTTTTTTTTTTTTTTTCTTTATTGAGTATTACAACAATCGGTCACATGAACACTAGTTATACTGAGGTAGGATAACATTCACACTATATGTACAAGAAAATAAAATAAATAGAACAAAATAATAATCAAAAGTATATACAATAGATAATAAAATTAAATAACCTAAAAAATAAGAAATTTAAAACTAAGAAAAAAAACACATGGATACCTATATACAATCAGGCGAGGGAACTCCAGGAGAACCCTGCCCTACTCTCCCAACAGCGTCACTGGTACTAAAGCCAGCGGAGATTGGTCGAGAGCACTTTAGCCACATACACTCATGCCTTGAGTGAAGAATCTGGCCATTGCCAGAACTCCAATTTATACAATCTACAAAAGGTCGCGAGGCCACTGCCGTTTCAACCTTCTTGGAGGATTATAGGGATGGGAGGTGCTTGATAGGGATTGTGCAAGAGGATTTGGGTGGTACGTAAGGTTCTGGTGAAATTTGCAGAATTTTTCTGGGATAAGATCTAGGACAAATGGGATGTTGAGGTCATGATGTAGGGTTTTGTTGGTTACATAGTAAGGAGCATCGACTATTGTTCGAAGGACTTTTGACTGGAAGGATTGGATGAGCTTGATGTTAGAAAATGTTGCTGATTCCCACAGTTCTAGTCCGTAAGTCCAAATAGGTTTCAGTATTGTCTTGTAGATCAGTAGCTTTTTTTCAATGGAAAGTTTAGATTTTCTGCTTGGTAGTCGGTATAGTTGGCCGTATCGTCGGTTGAGTTCTTGTCTTTTGAGTCTAGTATGCGGGTTCCACGTTAGTCTTCGGTCTAAATGAAAGCCAAGATACCGGACTGTGTCTGAGTAAGGAAGCTGGATGGAATTAAAGAGTACTGGTGGACAGGAATTGCGTCGGAGTGTAAAGGTAATATGTTGGCATTAAGATTCATTAACTTTAATGCGCCAGTTATTACACCAGTGCTCAATCAAGGTGAGGTGGTTTTGGAGATTTAAGGATGCTATTTCGGGATCAGAGTTGGATGATAAGATTGCGGTGTCGTCAGCGAATTAAATGTATCAGTAAATGCGTTACCTGCTCGTGGGGACTTATCCTAACAAAGTTGTATTCTTCTGTTGGCTTCTATATCACAGAATGCAGTGCTAACATGGGAGACATTCACTAAGTGCTAACTTCCACCATTTTTCTTCCAATATAGGCCCCCCCCCTCACAGTATTATTATATTTTTATTATTCAATTTTGTTACATGTCTATTGTAAGTTGTTAACTAAAATAGGATAATTTTATGATTAGCTTCTTTATAAAATACAGCCTGATAATACTCATAACATTTCTAAATCACTTATTTTTAATATTAATTTGAATGATATTTAGTGTGTGTAATCATTTCTAAATAAAAGAGGTTTCATTCAAATGATGGTCTTGTTTAACATTAACAAACATAACTTATGTTTTCATTATATTTATACATGTACTCTTTTATGAAGGAACATGTTTATATTGAATCATTGCTGCCAAAATATTAAGCCCACTGCTTTTTTCCATGAGATAAGATGACTTAGAAGTAAACATAAATTCAATAAAAAACAACATACCTGCCAATATTATGAAATAAAAATATTCTAAACAAGTAAAATTTAAAAAAAAAATTGTTTCAGGGGGATGAATATTACCTGTTGCTTGTGTATTGTTTTAATAATTAAAACTATTGTACGCCAAGTGGCCGAAATTAAACTACAGCCTTCAATTAAGGATCTACTATTATCGACATAGCCGATACCGATCATCCCTAAATTTATTATTAAACATTTGAGGAAAACATAAATGATTATTTTGAATACTTATGACCAAAAAAAGGATAAAATAAAAGATAATAAAATAATTTTTAATAAATATAATTTTATATCGGAATCTTGAGTTGTTGGGCGCCTGGCTTTACTAGCCTTCCATCTCTAAAGAGATAATTATAGATTACATAAGTTACTTACCCATGATTTGGTCATGATTAATTATTTATTCTACCATGCTAGCTCAGGTGAAAAAGGGATTAGGTTGGATATTTTTATTAAGCAGCAAAAAAGGTTAACAGATCTATTTACAGAAAGAAATATTTACAGAATTAATACTATGTACAATAAAAAGAAATAAAATACAAGGAAAAAGAGAGAATTTAAACATAATTACTATATACAATTAAAGATAAATAGGAAGATATTTAAGATAATAAAAATAACTAAAAAAGATACTTATTCTATATACAATAGTATGGCATGCCATATCTAAGCATCTAGAAAAGAAAGTAAAGCAACATACAACAAGAGATATAAGATGTAAGAGCACATGCACATGCTAAAATATCAATTAGTAATCAAGCACACGAAACAAAAGAGAGTAGAGTTTGTTTTTTTGTTTTTTTTTGTTCACTGCTTCTGAAATATGGAGCTTAAGATATCTGGATGCTATTGAAGTGGTATAGCTGAAGTTTCTGAAGCAACTATTTAGGTGGCCAAGGAATACTGCCAACTACATCGTACGTCTCGAAACTGGCCGAAACGCCTTGAGTGTCAGGGTTATGAGAAGGATTATAAATTACTGATCTAAATTGTCGCCTATGCCTAAAAAGAGGTTACCAAGACTTTTCTTCAACAAATTAATTTAGCTGGATACAAGGAATTCTGATATAAACTTTAATTGGATCACACAAATCAGATCAATAGCTGCTCATTATGGCTGTAAAGAAGAGTTCGATAAAGTATACCCAACTCGATTATTAAAATACAGCGATGAAATATTGGAAAAGCTAAAAAACCATAACCTATCTAAGGACATCCATTTATCCATAAATTCCAACAACAATCCCATATATAGAACTATTTCCAGCTTCAATATTTCCAGCCCAGAGTCCTATTTGATGTATAGAGCTAAAATAAAAAAGCTAAGATCAATAAGTCAGTTAAGGGTTTCAAATCCCGAATCAATTAAGCTCTATACGAAAAACAAAAGTTTCTACTTCAAAGCCCAGGAAACCTGCACTTTCTGTAACCAATTCATTACTAACAGCCTGTTCCATATCCTTCTGTACTGTGAAAAGCTAACAGACGACAGACACAAACATTTACGAGCATTTCTCTCTGCGCCAAGTGATGTAAACAAGATACAAGACATACTTCGAATCGATAACATAGAGAAACTTAACAAGATTTACTGGTTCATAATGTCAGCGTGCAATTCACTGGATTCCTTAAGCTCTGATGTTCCACACACCAATCAAGTGCTATGACTAAGGATAATTGTTGGTCAGTTCAATTAATTGTTTGTTTCTTTTTTTTTCTTATGGTTTTATTGATAATGTAGATAGAAATTAATTGGAATGTAATGAAGTATTATTGTTTAGTTATTGTTATATAAGTCAATGTACAGTTAGGATAAACTAGACTCATGTAGCTGAAATAAGTTATATAAATGACTTATTCATATATGTATGATTTGTACAAGATTGTAAAATAATCTTTAACAAATAAATTCAATTCAATAATGAAAGCTGTAAAATATCCACAAGGTCTATGAAACAAGTAGAAAAAAAAAACTTTTTAAGACTCATGACTAACATCTTTAAAATACTATTATTACATGAAATAAGGTGTAAAGAAAGAAACACATTTAGAATCGATTAAGTGAATCATATTGACATATCATCCGATATAAAATAGAATAATCGATCTGTAATTTTTTATCATTTATTAAAAAAACTAGAAGGATATCAGTGTTTATCTTTCCTTAACAAATAGGCGATTAGCTACGCAATGCAGCCCCATTTCAATAGCGATCCGTACGGAAGCATTCACAACATCTAATTTACCAACTATTGTTACAACTGCCAAAAACAAAATGGAGGGGACGCCATGTTTACGCTTTGGATATCAAGCCGTGTTATTGAATACAGATTCGGCGAACGTGGCCATAGCGAATTCCTAATATCATATGCGACATCCTCGCTCTATAAAATGTCTTCCTAAGTTGAACGGTTCACATTTCTTCGACGGGGCTACAGATGAAGCTGTTGGGGGTTTCGTCGTTGTTCATCATCTTTGTCTTGCAGGTCTTGTACTCACGAGGTATGTAGAAAACTATGGATTTCATAATTATATACATGAGTATAATGCATATGCTGTCCTGTGTATATATGTAAAAAACGCTGCAAGTTATTTCTCAATGGTTTATTATTTTAAAACAATTATACATCTAAAGTAACATTACCTTCCTAGTTATAAAGAAAAATAAATAAAAGGTGATTCCAATTATTGGACTAAACTTTTGGTTTATTATTTTTAATAATGAAACATTGTGATCGACCAAAAAATTCAAAAACTTAACCCCCTTTCAAAATTTGAGGTTTCACGTTTCAGGATGCGTAGAATTCGAAAAATGAATAATTTTTTTTTGTCCGTAAGTTGTCTGCCGTCCGCTTTTTTTTTCAAATTTTGATATAAAACAGAGGACACCCGAGGATGATCCTCCTTCATCGACATTACTCTCCGCCATTTAACTTTCAAAATGGCGGCCGAAAAACCTGCGTTGCTATAGACTGTAGCTCCTAAACGAATGTACAGATTTCAATGAAACTTCGCTAAAGTCATTTTCTCGACGCCCATTAAATTTATCTATATAACATACTTCAACGAAAAGAAGCTGAAAAAATGAGGGATGGTAAAATTTAATTCTGAATAACTCAAAAAGTATACTCTTTTTTGTCCATATTGTGATAGGATGTTTTGAAGGTATTTAAGTTTCCTACAATAACTACACTAATCATACATTATTAGGAGAGATATCGCGATTTTTAAATATTTTTGGTTTATTAATTTCAATAATCAATCATTGCGATCGACCAAAAAATTATGGTTTTTAATATGGATATATGGTTTCTTAATAGTTCACGGAATTTCCTAAAAAACAACAAAAAAAAACGTTAAAATCGGACAATTAGGAGCAAAGATATGGTCTCCAGTTTTTTTTCCTATGTTCTACTCTAAATGTTATATCCTGTGTTTGGTTTTTAAATTTTGAATATGCTACTGAAGTAATGCTATTTTTTTTTTAGCATATTAGTAATGATTAAAAAAACGCTGCAAGTTATTTCTCAATGGTTTATTAATTTAAAACAATTATACATCTAAAGTAACATTACCTTCCAAATAGTTATAAATAAAAATAAATAAAAAGTGATTCCAATTATTGGACTAAACTTTTGTTTTATTATTTTCAATAATGAAACATTGTGCTCGACCAAAAAATTCAAAAACATAACCCCCTCTCAAAATTTGAGGTTTTACGTTTCAAGATGCGAAGAATTCCAAAAAAAGAATAAAGATTTTTTTGTCCGTCCACCGTCCGCGCATTTTCTCCGAAACTACTGTCCCGAATTTTTTCAAATTTTGATATAAAATCAGATGTCACCCCAGGACGATCCTCCTTCATCGACATTACCATCCGCCTTTAACTTTTAAAATGGCGGCCGAAAAACCTGCGTTGTTATAGACAGTTATAGTTCCTAAACGAATGTACAGATTTCAATGAAACTTTCGCTAAAGTCATTTTCTCAAAATTTATCTATATAGCATACTTCAACGAAAAGAAGCTGGAAAAAAAAGTTACGAGGGATGGTAAAATTAATTCCGAATAACTCGAAAAGTTTATACTTTTTTGTTGATATTGTATGGTTTTTTAAAAGTTTACGAAATTTCGTCAATTTCGTCAATTAGGAGCAAAGATAGGGTCTCCGGTTTTTTTTTATGTGTTCTACTCCTAATGTTATATCCTTGGTTTGGTTTTTAAATTTTAAATGTGTTACTGAACTAATGCTATTTTTAGCATAGTATTAACTGTTTTAAAGAAAAACAGTTTAGTCCAATAATTGGAGTCACCTTTTGTTTTTTTTTTCTTTCTAACTCGGAAGGTAATTTTACTTTAGATGTATAATTGTTTGGAGATAATAAACCATTGTGAAATAATTTGCAGCGTTTTTTTTTAATCATTAGTAATATGCCAAAAAAAAAAATAAAATAGCATTACTTCAGTAACACATTCAAAATTTAAAAACAAAAGAAAGGATATAACATATAAAAAAACTGGAGACCATATCTTTGCTCCTAATTGTCCGATTTTAACGGGTTTTTTTTTAGAAAATTCGGTAAACTTTTAAACAACCATATATCGATATTAAAAACCATAATTTTTTGGTCGATCACAATGATTGATTATTTTCAATAATCAACCAAAAATATTTAAAAATCGCGATATCTCTATTAATAGTGCTTTGATTTCGATGAAATTTCCTTCATTTTGTAGGAATTTTAAATACCTTCAAAACATCTTATCACAATATCGACAAAAAAGTGTATACTTTTGGAGTTATTCGGAATTAAATTTTACCATCACTCTTTTTTCCAGCTTTTTTTCGTTGAAGTATTTTATATAGATAAATTTAATGGGCGTCGAGAAAATGACTTTAGTGAAGTTTCATTGAAATCGGTACTTTCGTTTAGGACCTACAGTCTATTGCAACGCCATTTTGAAAGTAAAAGGTGATATTAATGTCGATGAAGGAGCATCATCCTCGGGGGACCTCTGATTTGATATCCAAATTTTTAAAAAAATGGTCCCGTAGTTTCGGAGAAAATTCGCGGACGGCGGACGGCTTACAGCGGACGGACAAAATAATTTTTATTCGTTTTTCGAACTCTACGCAACCTGCCATTCGGCGTTGTATAACATCCTAAGTTATACAGTTGACTCATCCTTCTATGGTCCGAAATTTCTATGCTATGCTCAATTTTCAAACATCTCAATTTACTCAGTAGTTAAGAGATATACCTGTTCTGTCCAATCACCTATTGTATTACCTTCTTATAGTGGCCGATGACGTAACCTCCCAACAAATATTAACTGGGCTTTGGAATTAACTGAATACAAAACACATCTGGAGAAATTTTATTCGAATAAGAAATGAATAAAAATTTATAATCTTTTAAATAATGTTTATTTTATTGATTATTCGTAGAAAAAAAAATTATTTTTTTTATAATGAAATTTACAATTATATAAATATACATCTATTAAATGTGATACGAAGAAATTCAATGGCGTGAAAAGACTTTAGAGAAACTACTCATTTGTAGCACTCTAACAAAATTTCTAATTAGGATATCACGAGACTATCTTCTTTTCAGACACCTCGGGGAGTTTTCGTTGATTAAAGAGGAAACAATGTTGGAAAAGAGAGATTACGAAATGTTAGACTTTTCCTAGGTGGAGTTCTAGGTATCAGATTCTTTGAGAAATGGACTGCTTAGCGTTCTTTTATTCATTTTTTACACAAAATATTTAATTTATATAAATGAATATATCGAATTATTAATAATGGATTCATATTAAAGACGCACATCTGTCATTTCCAGAAAGTGGAGAAAAAAGTAAATTTTTGTTTTATAGGTTCAACTCAAACTGTATCTGGTGATTTTATTTTAAAATATTCAAGTTGGATCATAAAAAACGCAGCAAATAATTTCACAATGGTTTATTATTTTCAAACAATTATAAATCTTAAGTAACCTTACCTTCCTAGGTGACAAATAAAATAAAATAAAAAGTTCCAGCTTCTTTTCGTTGAAGAATGTTTATGTTTACAGTCTAGCAACGACGGTTTTTCGGTCGTCATCTTGAAAGGAAAAGGCGGATATAAATGTCTATAAAGGAGGATCATCACTTGGTGACCTCTTACCTTAAATACAAATTTGAAAAAAAAAAAAATCATTGCAGTAGTTTCGGAGAAAATGCGAGGACGGCGGACGGTGCATGGACAAAAAAATTTGTATTCGTTTTTAGAATTCTACGTATCCTGAAACGAAAAACCTCAAATTTTGAAAGCTGGTTAAGTTTGTGATTTTTTTTTTTTCGATTACAATAATTCATTATTGAAAATAATAAACCAAAAATTATTAGAATTGGTTTATATTGAAGCTGTGTTACAAAAATTGGCTTTTCCTCGTCTTTTTAAAAAGGACAGATGTTTTGTTAAAAGGTATCTCGATTGCAGCTTTGCTAATGCGACCCATCTTTCTCGTTTTTGGCCACGGTGTCTTTTTTCTATTATTGGGACATTCATAGTCGTGTAGAGGCTTCCTGATGGATTGTACAATGGATGATGTAATAATGGATTGCATTACGTGGATGATATAAAAATGGATCGTTTAATTGAATAAATCCGAAAAATTACTATAAATCGATACCCATTGGTGCTATCTGAAAATCGATGATATTTTTATAAAAAGTATCTTCGATATCCAAATATGTGTAACAAGTAATTTTTTCTTTATGTATTATTTTTTTCTTTTTTTCTTCTCTTTGTACAAGTATTTCTAGTTTTCTTTTACTTTTAATTGCATATATTTTTTATTAATGTTTTCTTCTTATTTTATGATTTTTTTCTTAGCTTGTATTTTAATTTGTATATAAAGAATGAATGTAATCATAGAGTGATAATACCGAATTCCCTGGATTGTAGCAGATTTTATTGTTATTATTACTCAAATAAATCAGTTGACAGTTCAGGGAAATCCAAATAATGAACATCAGTGTTGAAGAAATTCGATAAACCATTTTTCATAATTATGTATATATTATTGGGTTATAAAAGATTACAGAGGCAACTTATCATTGCGATATAGATTTTAAACGTTTTTAAATTTGGTAAACATGTGTTTCAAATGTAAAAGTCTTTTTTGTAATATTGAAAGACGTAAAAACCTCCAAGATTAAAACAATTAAGCCCTTTGAGTTGAAAGTGCAGCGGAGGATAGTTTTTTGTTGCAAATGAAGTAATACACAAGGACTTATACAAACCAACAATTTTAGACATTGCCAATAAAAATTACGTTAAAATTTAAGTCCAAAGTGAAACTGACCTACATAAATTCACTGACAGAAATTCTTAAATGGAGAAGACACCCCTATAATTCACCAAGATGATTACGTAGGCGGTGGCCAATAGATCAACTGAGCTCATTTATATTTTATGAGACGCCGTGAAGTAGCCAATGAAATTTGCTCATTGCAAATTTAATTTGATTCACAATAATAATAATTGATTATTTAATTGATAGAACGAATACAATGTGTATTTAAAGCTCATAAATATTTATCAGGGGTGAAAGACAGCAGCCCTGTTTCAGTCCTTTGTTAATGTAGAAGCTTCTAGACACTCTATCTCCTATTTTTATAGCCCCGGTTATATTTTTATAGAGCTCTTGAATTGCTCTGATGAGGTATCTCTTAATAGATGTGGCTTCCAAAGCTTTCGACAATTTTGCTAGAGGTACTGAATCGTAGGCCTTGTGTAAATCTACAAATATCATGTGGAGTTCATGGTCGTGAGCCATCCTTTTTTCTATAAGTTGTGAGAGACTAAAAATGTGATCAGTGCATGATCTTCCAGCTCGAAAACCCGCCTGTTCCTCGCTGATCTCTTCCTTTAAGTCATTTTCAATTCTGCTTTTAATTATCCGGCCGTATAATCTACTCAGCGAGCTGGTAGCAGTAATACCTCTGTAGTTGGAAATGTCTTTCTTTTCGCCTTTTTTGAAAACTGGGGTGATATAACCCTGTTTCCATTCTTCGGGGATCTCTCCACCATTTAACAGAAGTGTCATACTTTCTGCCAGTGCCATTTTGAGTTCGGTCGGGCCTGCTTTAATTAATTCAATTGGAATAGAACCAGGGCCGGGAGATTTTCTATTTTTCATTCCTTTGAGAACTGAATCCAGTTCTACGATTGTGACTAGCGGTATATCTTCCTTATTTGATATTATTTCATCGGATTGGTTCCATGAGAATTCGGGTCGCATAATATAATATGACTCTTTAAGTTGTATAAAACCCAAATAAAAAAAATAAATATTTATTGTTATCATGTTTTCAGGAGTAAGAGCGAAAGAAAATGGATTCGAGAAATCAGCAGGATATGGTGCAGTTAATGAAGAGCTGAGTATACGGAACAAAAGAGACGAAACGAAATCTGATGACATAGACGGATCTATATCGTCTCCCATCGACCATGTTTCAAGAAAAGATCGTGACGAATCAAAGGAGACCGAAAATCACGCCTCGAAATCATCTTTAAAAAAGACTGACCACGGAGGACTGACCAGATCGAAAAGAGAAACAGAAACTCTAGCATACGATAGCTCTCATCACTCAGATGACACAACTAAAAAGAAGAGCAAATCTGCAAAATTAAAGTTAGCCGCCGTTTGCAAAAGTGGAAAAGCCTCAAGAAACTTATTAAAGGCCATCGAACAAAACTCAAATGACGATTCCGAAGAAAAAGTTTCTTTTATAGACGATTACGTAAGCCCATCATTGATAAACAATCATGACAGCACCACCACGTTGCAGAATACAGATACAGAAAAAAATATCCCTGATTTCCACAGCGAATCGGCAACAAACATCGATGAACTCCAAAGAGACACAGGAAAAGAGAACCAAGGAAGCAACAATCAGGAAATGTCAAGCACGAGTGACAATCAACCATACCATGTAGCTGGAAGTGGTAACCAAGTAGCTCAAAATGTTATAAACAACTCACCAAGTATCGACTCACATTTTGGAGTGGGGGAAACCGGCAGTTCTGATAAGGAGACAGCGCAATCTAAAGGAACACAAGGAGAACTAACGGACGAGTCCGGAAGCGGTCAACACTGGCTAGATTGGTTCGCAGGGCTCCTCCAATCGACTCCAGCTTCAGAAACAGGTAAAATTATTTCGAAATAATAAATGGTCAACCATTCTTTCTCGATGTACACTTTATTTGTTTGTAAGTAGATTAATAATCTATGAACTATAAATCGTGATCATAAATAGCATATATAACGTAAATCATCGAGCTCTAATTGTTAAAAAAAAAAAATACGGTGTGTGCTTTAGATCAAACCATAGAAGTAAAAACAGAAGGAGATTAATAATATGAAATATAATTTTTTTTTCTTCTATATTCACAAAGTATTAACATTTACAATTATAGTATAAACTAATTGTTGTCCTATATTCACAAAGTAATAACATTTTCAATATATACAATTATAATTGTGTATAAATTGCTCTACTGAACTTTTCTTTGTCTGATCGTCATTTGAATCATATTCTAAAAATGATACGATAGATACGATACGATACGATATTTCATAAATTTATAACAAAAACTCCTTCATTTTTTTTAGAATAACTTCTGTAACGGCGGTCAGTAATTTGTCGAAACTCTATCGAGTGCAGCAGAAAATCGAATAGAAACACATAATTTCTAACCTTTATGGCAAATTTTTTTTATTATTTCTTTATTGAGTATTATAACAATCTGTCTCTTGGACATTGGTTATAGTCAGGTAGGATGACATTCACACTATAGGTACAAAAAAATAAAATAAATAGAACAAAATAATAATTAAAAGTATATACAATAGAATTAAAAATTTAAAAAAAAATATCTTTATTAACTTCTGCAAATTGGTTTCTGATGTTTGAGTTTTTGAGATATTTTAGTCGAAATGTTCAAAACAGCCGTTATCATTTGATCTGTATTCCTTCCATACTCGGCGTCACGACAAAAAAAACAATCTTGATTTATAGTTCATTACAAAGAGGATGAAATGATGAAAATTTCCCTTACATTATGCAGGTCCCAATTTCAGTTGTTGAGATATTTTAATCCACCCCCATACCAGACTGAAACGACTAGAAACCGCACGACGTTTTCGACTACTGCAGCACTTACTAGACAAACGATCTAAGGTCTCAATCAATTACAAACGACTCATATATATGACAATGATAAGACTTATTTGGACTTACGGAATTGAGCTTTGGGGCTCCATTAAACCATCGAATTCCTCTCGTATCCAATCCTTACAATCCAAAATCCTTCGTAAAATCCTCAACGCCTCTTTATTTGTCACAAATAAAATCATCCATAAAGACCTTAATGTTCCATATGTTTTCGATTTGGCCCAATCCAGATACCTACCCTTCCATGACAAACTGCAGAATCATCCGAATCCTCCCGTTTCAAACTCTTGCTTCCTCCTGGATCTCTGATAACCCTCCGAGGCGTCTGAAAAGAAGATGGCCTCGGGACATTCTAATATAGAACTTTAGATTGAGTTCTAGCAATGGGTAATTTCTCTTCATGTTGTACATGTCATGTTACCAATGTCACATTTACTTTTTGTATTTTTCATATAATACAGTTGTAAATTTCATTAAAATAAAAGAAATTAAAACAGAAAATTAATCCAAATTTTCAACAAAACTTGTAAGTATTTGGTTTTTACACTATCATTTTCCAAATTTAAGTTTCTTTAATTTCTTTCCTTTATGCCTCTCAAACACGACGATGCGTTGAGATACAATTTTGATTTATAGCTCATTACAAAGAAGTTGAAATGGTGAACATTTCCCTCGCCTACAGTTTGCAGGTTCGATTTTTAGTTTCTGAAATATTTTATTTCAAATGCAAAAATGCTTCAATTATTTGACTCGAGCCGACTTTACCCGAATAAGAGTTACATACATCAGCGTGAAGGCTCAGTCTGATTCACTACCCACAAAGAAAAATTTCAAGCCTGAAAAAGTTTTACTTCTGAAATTGCGGATTCTAATTGGATTATTTTAGAAATCCATCTTGAAAATTAAAAAGTAAGGTCCGGAGGAATTATTCTCGAACGCCCAAGTTCGATCCTGGCTGTGGTACATAAGCATTTATTCTTTTCCTTCAGACGTGGATCAACCCTGGGGTCAGAAGGACTTCCTGGTGCATACCCATTCCCTATAATCCTTAATTACTCAATTGATTAAGTGGTCCTGATAGAGCATAATTATAATCCGATCACCTCTCTTCGCAATCGTTAGCCTATAGTGCTCCATATTTTTTTTAACTTCTATATAGATTGAGTTCTTCGATCAAAAAATGACTGTATATCTAGCGGTCAAGCAAAAAACTTTACTCATGCTGGTTCGCCGTTGTCGAAGATGGATATCTGTAATATTCTAGGCCTACTATTGCCTCTAACTTTAAAAACGGTTAACTTGTTAATTAGCTATGGTATTTCCGTATCACTATACATCCGAGATGATCTATAAAAATCAATAAACGCAATATTCAGTGTATTTTAGACTAGTTTGGTCCGGTAATAACATTGAAAAAATAACTATGAATAAAAACAAGTAATATCGAATTACAATAAGTAAATACCGATCATAACCAATTATATACTAATATTCTTCAGCCTACATTTACATTTTATCAAACAGTAAAATAATATATAAATACATAAAATGTTTTGTTTCAGGTGAAAATTTAAGCAATAATGGACCAACAGCAACAACAGAAACAAGTAAAGAAGTCAGCGGATCAATAGGAACACCAGCAGCACAATTCAGTGCTGGTTTCAACAGTCCTACTGACCAAAATGGTGCTAATATCCAACATGGAGAAACCGATCCAACAGCTAGCACGTCACAGATTTCCTCCTCACCATTGGCTACATCTAATCATCTAATCAATGGCATTAGAGCACCATTACAAAGCCAATCACTAACTGCCAATAGCAATACAGCATCATTAGGAGCATCAGATATGTATAGCAATGGAGTACCAGAAGCAGGAGCAAATGGTGAAGTCGGTGGATCGATAGGAACACCAGCATCACAATTCAGTGCAGGTTTGAACATGCCTACAGACCAAAATGGTGATACTATCCAATATGGTGAAACCAATCCAACAGCTACAACGTCACAGATTAACTCCTCACCATCAGCTACATCTAATCACCTAATGAATGGCATTAGAGCCCCATTACAGAGCCAATCACTAACTGCTAATAGCAACGGTGCATCATTAGGAACATCAGCTATGTATAACGATGGAGTATCACCAGCAGAAGCAAATGGTGAATTCAGCGGATCAGCAGGAACACCAGCAGCACAATTCAGTGCTGGTTTGAACATGCCTACTGACCAAAATGGTGCTAATATCCAACATGGAGAAACCGATCCAACAGCTACAACGTCACAGATTTCCTCCTCACCATTGGCTACATCTAATCATATAATCAATGGCATTAGAGCACCATTACAAAGCCAATCACTAACTGCCAATAGCAATACAGCATCATTAGGAGCATCAGATATGTATAGCAATGGAGTACCAGAAGCAGGAGCAAATGGTGAAGTCGGCGGATCGATAGGAACACCAGCATCACAATTCAGTGCAGGTTTGAACATGCCTACAGACCAAAATGGTGATACTATCCAATATGGTGAAACCAATCCAACAGCTACAACGTCACAGATTACCTCCTCACCATCGGCTACATCTAATCACCTAATGAATGGCATTAGAGCCCCATTACAGAGCCAATCACTAAATGCTAATAGCAACGGCGCATCATTAGGAACATCAGCTATGTATAACGATGGAGTACCAGTAGCAGAAGGAAATGGTAAATTCAGCGGATCAGTAGGAACACCAGCAGCACAATTCAGTGCAGGTTTGAACATGCCTACAGACCAAAATGGTGCTACTATCCAACATGGTGAAACCGATCCAACAGCTACAACGTCACAGATTTCCTCCTCACCATCGTCTACATCTAATCATCTAATGAACGGCATTAGAGCCCCATTACAAAGCCAATCACTAACTGCTAATAGCAATGCAGCATCATTAGGAGTATCAGATATGTATAGCAATGGAGTACCAGAAGCAGGAGCAAATGGTGAATTCGGCGGATCGAGAGGAACACCAGCAGCACAATTCAGTGCAGGTATGAACATGCCTACTGACCAAAATGGTGCTACTATCCAACATGGTGAAACCGATCCAACAGCTACAACGTCACAGATTTCCTCCTCACCATCGTCAACATCTACTCATCTATTGAATGGCATTAGAGCCCCATTACAGAGCCAATCACTAACTGCTAATAGCAATGCAGCATCATTAGGAGCATCAGCTATGTATAACGATGGAGTGCCAGTAGCAGAAGCAAATGGTGAATTCAGCGGATCAGCAGGAACACCAGCAGCACAATTCAGTGCAGGTATGAACATGCCTACAGACCAAAATGGTGCTACCGATCCAACAGCTACAACGTCACAGATTTCCTCCTCACCATCGTCTACATCTAATCATCTAATGAATGGCATTAGAGCCCCATTACAAAGCCAATCACTAACTGCTAATAGCAATGCAGCATCATTAGGAGCATCAGCTATGTATAACGATGGAGTGCCAGTAGCAGAAACAAATGGTGAATTCAGCGGATCAGAAGGAACACCAGCAGCGATATTCAGTGCTGGTTTGAACATGCCCACTGACCAAAATGGTGCTACTATCCAACATGGTGAAACCGATCCAACAGCTACAACTTCACAGATTTCCTCCTCACCATCGGCTACATCTAATCATCTAATGAATGGCATTAGAGCCCCATTACAGAGCCAATCACTAACTGACAATAGAAATGGCGCATCATTAGGAACATCAGCTATGTATAACGATGGAGTACCAGTAACAGAAGCAAATGGTGAATTCAGCGGATCAGCAGGAACACCAGCAGCACAATTCAGTGCAGGTTTGAACATGCCTACTGACCAAAATGGTGCTACTATCCAACATGGTGAAACCGATCCAACAGCTAAAACCTCACAGATTTCCTCCTCAGAAGCAAGAGCACCAGTAACAGAAGCAAATGGTGAATTCAGCGGATCAGCAGGAACACCAGCTGCACAATTCAGTGCTGGTTTGAACATGCCTACAGACCAAAATGGTGCTACTATCCAATATGGAGAAACCGATCCAACAGCTACAACGTCACAGATTTCTTCCTCACCAACTTCTACAACTAATCAGATAATGAATGGCATTAGAGCACCATTACAAAGCCAATCACTAACTGCTAATAGCAACGGCGCATCATTAGGAACAGCAGCTATGTATAACGATGGAGTACCACCAGCAGAAGCAAATGGTGAATTAAGCGGATCAGCAGGAACACCAGCAGCACAATTCAGTGCTGGTTTGAACATGCCTACAGACCAAAATGGTGCTACTATCCAATATGGAGAAACCGATCCAACAGCTACAACGTCACAGATTTCCTCCTCACCATCGGCTACATCTAATCACCTAATGAATGGCATTAGAGCTCCATTACAGAGCCAATCACTAACTGCTAATAGCAACGGCGCATCATTAGGAACATCAGCTATGTATAACGATGGAGTACCACCAGCAGAAGCAAATGGTGAATTAGCGGATCAGCAGGAACACCAGCAGCACAATTCAGTGCTGGTTTGAACATGCCTACAGACCAAAATGGTGCTACTATCCAATATGGAGAAACCGATAAAACAGCTACAACGTCACAGATTTCCTCCTCACCATCGGCTACATCTAATCACCTAATGAATGGCATTAGAGCCCATTACAGAGCCAATCACTAACTGCTAATAGCAACGGCGCATCATTAGGAACATCAGCTATGTATAACGATGGAGTACCAGCAGCAGAAGCAAATGGTGAATTCAGCGGATCAGCAGGAACACCAGCAGCACAATTCAGTGCTGGTTTGAACATGCCTACAGACCAAAATGGTGCTACTATCCAATATGGAGAAACCGATAAAACAGCTACAACGTCACAGATTTCCTCCTCACCATCGGCTACATCTAATCACCTAATGAATGGCATTAGAGCTCCATTACAGAGCCAATCACTAACTGCTAATAGCAACGGCGCATTATTAGGAACAGCAGCTATGTATAACGATGGAGTACCACCAGCAGAAGCAAATAGTGAATTAAGCGGATCAGCAGGAACACCAGCTGCACAATTCAGTGCTGGTTTGAACATGCCTACAGACCAAAATGGTGCTACTATCCAATATGGAGAAACCGATCCAACAGCTACAACGTCACCGATTTCTTCCTCACCAACTTCTACAACTAATCAGATAATGAATGGCATTAGAGCACCATTACAAAGCCAATCACTAACTGCTAATAGCAACGGCGCATCATTAGGAACATCAGCTATGTATAACGATGGAGTACCACCAGCAGAAGCAAATGGTGAATTCAGCGGATCAGCAGGAACACCAGCAGCACAATTCAGTGCTGGTTTGAACATGCCTACAGACCAAAATGGTGCTACTATCCAATATGGAGAAACCGATCCAACAGCTACAACGTCACAGATTTCTTCCTCACCAACTTCTACAACTAATCAGATAATGAATGGCATTAGAGCACCATTACAAAGCCAATCACTAACTGCTAATAGCAACGGCGCATCATTAGGAACATCAGCTATGTATAACGATGGAGTACCACCAGCAGAAGCAAATGGTGAATTCAGCGGATCAGCAGGAACACCAGCAGCACAATTCAGTGCTGGTTTGAACATGCCTACAGACCAAAATGGTGCTACTATCCAATATGGAGAAACCGATCCAACAGCTACAACGTCACAGATTTCTTCCTCACCAACTTCTACAACTAATCAGATAATGAATGGCATTAGAGCACCATTACAAAGCCAATCACTAACTGCTAATAGCAACGGCGCATCATTAGGAACATCAGCTATGTATAACGATGGAGTGCCAGCAGCAGAAGCAAATGGTGAATTCAGCGGATCAGCAGGAACACCAGCAGCACAATTCAGTGCTGGTTTGAACATGCCTACAGATCAAAATGGTGCTACTATCCAATATGGAGAAACCGATCCAACAGCTACAACGTCACAGATTTCGTCCTCACCAACTTCTACAACTAATCAGATAATGAAAGGCATTAGAGCACCATTACAAAGCCAATCACTAACTGCTAATAGCAACGGCGCATCATTAGGAACATCAGCTATGTATAACGATGGAGTACCACCAGCAGAAGCAAATGGTGAATTCAGCGGATCAGCAGGAACACCAGCAGCACAATTCAGTGCTGGTTTGAACATGCCTACAGACCAAAATGGTGCTACTATCCAATATGGAGAAACCGATCCAACAGCTACAACGTCACAGATTTCTTCCTCACCAACTTCTACAACTAATCAGATAATGAATGGCATTAGAGCACCATTACAAAGCCAATCACTAACTGCTAATAGCAACGGCGCATCATTAGGAACAGCAGCTATGTATAACGATGGAGTACCACCAGCAGAAGCAAATGGTGAATTAAGCGGATCAGCAGGAACACCAGCAGCACAATTCAGTGCTGGTTTGAACATGCCTACAGACCAAAATGGTGCTACTATCCAATATGGAGAAACCGATCCAACAGCTACAACGTCACAGATTTCTTCCTCACCAACTTCTACAACTAATCAGATAATGAAAGGCATTAGAGCACCATTACAAAGCCAATCACTAACTGCTAATAGCAACGGCGCATCATTAGGAACATCAGCTATGTATAACGATGGAGTACCACCAGCAGAAGCAAATGGTGAATTCAGCGGATCAGCAGGAACACCAGCAGCACAATTCAGTGCTGGTTTGAACATGCCTACAGACCAAAATGGTGCTACTATCCAATATGGAGAAACCGATCCAACAGCTACAACGTCACAGATTTCTTCCTCACCAACTTCTACAACTAATCAGATAATGAATGGCATTAGAGCACCATTACAAAGCCAATCTCTAACTGCTAATAGCAACGGCGCATCATTAGGAACATCAGCTATGTATAACGATGGAGTACCAGCAGCAGAAGCAAATGGTGAATTCAGCGGATCAGCAGGAACACCAGCAGCACAATTCAGCGCTGGTTTGAACATGCCTACAGACCAAAATGGTGCTACTATCCAATATGGAGAAACCGATCCAACAGCTACAACGTCACAGATTTCTTCCTCACCAACTTCTACAACTAATCAGATAATGAATGGCATTAGAGCACCATTACAAAGCCAATCACTAACTGCTAATAGCAACGGCGCATCATTAGGAACATCAGCTATGTATAACGATGGAGTACCAACAGCAGAAGCAAATGGTGAATTCAGCGGATCAGCAGGAACACCAGCAGCACAATTCAGTGCTGGTTTGAACATGCCTACAGACCAAAATGGTGCTACTATCCAATATGGAGAAACCGATCCAACAGCTACAACGTCACAGATTTCCTCCTCACCATTGGCTACATCTAATCATATAATGAATGGCATTAGAGCACCATTACAAAGCCAATCACTAACTGCTAATAGCAACGGCGCATCATTAGGAGCATCAGATATGTATAACGATGGAGTACCAGAAGCAGGAGCAAATGGTGAAGTCAGCGGATCGATAGGAACACCAGCATCACAATTCAGTGCAGGTTTGAACATGCCTACAGACCAAAATGGTGATACTATCCAATATGGTGAAACCGATCCAACAGCTACAACGTCACAGATTACCTCCTCACCATCGGCTACATCTAATCACCTAATGAATGGCATTAGAGCCCCATTACAGAGCCAATCACTAAATGCTAATAGCAACGGCGCATCATTAGGAACATCAGCTATGTATAACGATGGAGTACCAGTAGCAGAAGGAAATGGTAAATTCAGCGGATCAGTAGGAACACCAGCAGCACAATTCAGTGCTGGTTTGAACATGGCTACAGACCAAAATGGTGCTACTATCCAACATGGTGAAACCGATCCAACAGCTACAACGTCACAGATTTCCTCCTCACCATCGCCTACATCTAATCATCTAATGAATGGCATTAGAGCCCCATTACAAAGCCAATCACTAACTGCTAATAGCAATGCAGCATCATTAGGAGTATCAGATATGTATAGCAATGGAGTACCAGAAGCAGGAGCAAATGGTGAAGTCGGCGGATCGAGAGGAACACCAGCAGCACAATTCAGTGCAGGTATGAACATGCCTACTGACCAAAATGGCGATCCTATCACACATGGTGAAACCGATCCAACAGCTACAACGTCACAGATTTCCTCCTCACCATCGTCAACATCTACTCATCTATTGAATGGCATTAGAGCCCCATTACAGAGCCAATCACTAACTGCTAATAGCAATGCAGCATCATTAGGAACATCAGCTATGTATAACGATGGAGTGCCAGTAGCAGAAGCAAATGGTGAATTCAGCGGATCAGCAGGAACACCAGCAGCACAATTCAGTGCTGGTTTGAACATGCCTACAGACCAAAATGGTGATACTATCACACATGGTGAAACCGATCCAACAGCTACAACGTCACAGATTTCCTCCTCACCATCGTCAACATCTACTCATCTAATGAATGGCATTAGAGCCCCATTACAGAGCCAATCACTAACTGCTAATAGCAATGCAGCATCATTAGGAGCATCAGCTATGTATAACGATGGAGTGCCAGTAGCAGAAGCAAATGGTGAATTCAGCGGATCAGCAGGAACACCAGCAGCACAATTCAGTGCAGGTTTGAACATGCCCACAGACCAAAATGGTGCTACTATCAAATATGGTGAAACCGATCCAACAGCTACAACTTCACAGATTTCCTCCTCACCATCGGCTACATCTAATCATCTAATGAATGGCATTAGAGCACCATTACAGAGCCAATCACTAACTGACAATAGAAATGGCGCATTATTAGGAACATCAGCTATGTATAACGATGGAGTGCCAGTAGCAGAAGCAAATGGTGAATTCAGCGGATCAGCAGGAACACCAGCACCACAATTCAGTGCAGGTTTGAACATGCCTACTGACCAAAATGGTGCTACTATCCAACATGGTGAAACCGATCCAACAGCTACAACGTCAAAAATTTCCTCCTCAGAAGCAAGAGTACCAGTAACAGAAGCAAATGGTGAATTCAGCGGATCAGCAGGAACACAAGCAGCACAATTCAGTGCTGCTTTGAACATGCCCACAGACCAAAATGGTGCTACTATCCAATATGGAGAAACCGATCCAACAGCTACAACGTCACAGATTTCTTCCTCACCAACTTCTACAACTAATCAGATAATGAAAGGCATTAGAGCACCATTACAAAGCCAATCACTAACTGCTAATAGCAACGGCGCATCATTAGGAACAGCAGCTATGTATAACGATGGAGTACCACCAGCAGAAGCAAATGGTGAATTCAGCGGATCAGCAGGAACACCAGCAGCACAATTCAGTGCTGGTTTGAACATGCCTACAGACCAAAATGGTGCTACTATCCAATATGGAGAAACCGATCCAACAGCTACAACGTCACAGATTTCCTTCCTCACCAACTTCTACAACTAATCAGATAATGAATGGCATTAGAGCACCATTACAAAGCCAATCACTAACTGCTAATAGCAACGGCGCATCATTAGGAACAGCAGCTATGTATAACGATGGAGTACCACCAGCAGAAGCAAATGGTGAATTAAGCGGATCAGCAGGAACACCAGCAGCACAATTCAGTGCTGGTTTGAACATGCCTACAGACCAAAATGGTGCTACTATCCAATATGGAGAAACCGATCCAACAGCTACAACGTCACAGATTTCCTCCTCACCATCGGCTACATCTAATCACCTAATGAATGGCATTAGAGCTCCATTACAGAGCCAATCACTAACTGCTAATAGCAACGGCGCATCATTAGGAACATCAGCTATGTATAACGATGGAGTACCAGCAGCAGAAGCAAATGGTGAATTCAGCGGATCAGCAGGAACACCAGCAGCACAATTCAGTGCTGGTTTGAACATGCCTACAGACCAAAATGGTGCTACTATCCAATATGGAGAAACGATCCAACAGCTACAACGTCACAGATTTCCTCCTCACCATCTTCTACATCTAATCATCTAATGAATGGCATTAGAGCCCCATTACAGAGCCAATCACTAACTGCTAATAGCAACGGCGCAGCATTAGGAACATCAGCTATGTATAACGATGGAGTACCAGTAGCAGAAGCAAATGGTGAATTCAGGGGATCAGCAGGAACACCAGCAGCACAATTCAGTGCTGGTTTGAACATGCCTACAGACCAAAATGGTGCTACTATCCAATATGGAGAAACCGATCCAACAGCTACAACGTCACAGATTTCCTCCTCACCATCTTCTACAACTAATCATCTAATGAATGGCATTAGAGCCCCATTACAGAGCCAATCACTAACTGACAATAGCAACGGCGCATCATTAGGAACATCAGCTATGTATAACGATGGAGTACCAGTAGCAGAAGCAAATGGTGAATTCAGGGGATCAGCAGGAACACCAGCAGCACAATTCAGTGCTGGTTTGAACATGCCTACAGACCAAAATGGTGCTACTATCCAATATGGAGAAACCGATCCAACAGCTACAACGTCACAGATTTCTTCCTCACCAACTTCTACAACTAATCAGATAATGAATGGCATTAGAGCACCATTACAAAGCCAATCACTAACTGCTAATAGCAACGGCGCATCATTAGGAACATCAGCTATGTATAACGATGGAGTACCAGCAGCAGAAGCAAATGGTGAATTCAGCGGATCAGCAGGAACACCAGCAGCACAATTCAGTGCGGGTGTCAACATGCTCACAAACCAAAATGGTGCTACTATCCAACATAGTGAAACCGATCCAACAGCTACAACGTCACAGATTTCCTCCTTACCAACTTCTACAACTAATCATCTAATGAATGGCATTAGAGCTCCATTACAGAGCCAATCACTAACTGCTAATAGCAACGGCGCATCATTAGGAACATCAGCTATGTATAACGATGGAGTACCAGTAACAGAAGCAAATGGTGAATTCAGCGGATCAGCAGGAACACCAGCAGCACAATTCAGTGCAGGTTTGAACATGCCTACTGACCAAAATGGTGCTACTATCCAACATGGTGAAACCGATCCAACAGCTACAACGTCACAGATTTCGTCCTCACCAACTTCTACAACTAATCAGATAATGAAAGGCATTAGAGCACCATTACAAAGCCAATCACTAACTGCTAATAGCAACGGCGCATCATTAGGAACAGCAGCTATGTATAACGATGGAGTACCACCAGCAGAAGCAAATGGTGAATTAAGCGGATCAGCAGGAACACCAGCAGCACAATTCAGTGCAGGTTTGAACATGCCTACAGACCAAAATGGTGCTACTATCCAACATGGTGAAACCGATCCCAAAGCTACAACATCAAAGATTTCCTCCTCACCATCGGCTACAACTAATCAGATAATGAATGGCATTAGAGCACCATTACAGAGCCAATCACTAACTGCTAATAGCAACGGCGCATCATTAGGAACATCAGCTATGTATAACGATGGAGTACCACCAGCAGAAGCAAATGGTGAATTACGCGGATCAGCAGGAACACCAGCTGCACAATTCAGTGCTGGTTTGAACATGCCTACAGACCAAAATGGTGCTACTATCCAATATGGAGAAACCGATCCAACAGCTACAACGTCACAGATTCCTTCCTCAAAAACTTCTACAACTAATCAGATAATGAATGGCATTAGAGCACCATTACAAAGCCAATCACTAACTGCTAATAGCAACGGCGCATCATTAGGAACATCAGCTATGTATAACGATGGAGTACCACCAGCAGAAGCAAATGGTGAATTACGCGGATCAGCAGGAACACCAGCAGCACAATTCAGTGCTGGTTTGAACATGCCTACAGACCAAAATGGTGCTACTATCCAATATGGAGAAACCGATCCAACAGCTACAATGTCACAGATTTCCTCCTCACCATCGGCTACATCTAATTACCTAATGAATGGCATTAGAGCCCCATTACAGAGCCAATCACTAACTGCTAATAGCAACGGCGCATCATTAGGAACATCAGCTATGTATAACGATGGAGTACCACCAGCAGAAGCAAATGGTGAATTACGCGGATCAGCAGGAACACCAGCAGCACAATTCAGTGCTGGTTTGAACATGCCTACAGACCAAAATGGTGCTACTATCCAATATGAAGAAACCGATCCAACAGCTACAACGTCACAGATTTCTTCCTCACCAACTTCTACAACTAATCATCTAATGAATGGCATTAGAGCCCCATTACAAAGCCAATCACTAACTGCTAATAGCAATGGTGCATCATTAGGAACATCAGCTATGTATAACGATGGAGTGCCAGTAGCAGAAGCAAATGGTGAATTCAGCGGATCAGCAGGAACACCAGCAGCACAATTTAGTGCGGGTGACAACATGCTCACAGACCAAAATGGTGCTACAATCCAACATGGTGAAACCGATCCAACAGCTACAACGTCACAGATTTCCTCCTCACCATCGTCAACATCTAATCATCTAATGAATGGCATTAGAGCCCCATTACAAAGCCAATCACTAACTGCTAATAGCAATGCAGCATCATTAGGAGTATCAGATATGTATAGCAATGGAGTGCCAGTAGCAGAAGCAAATGGTGAATTCAGTGGATCAGCAGGAACACCAGCAGCACAATTTAGTGCAGGTATGAACATGCCTACAGACCAAAATGGTGCTACCGATCCAACAGCTACAACGTCACAGATTTCTTCCTCACCAACTTCTACAACTAATCAGATAATGAATGGCATTAGAGCACCATTACAAAGCCAATCACTAACTGCTAATAGCAACGGCGCATCATTAGGAACATCAGCTATGTATAGCGATGGAGTACAAGTAGCAGGAGCAAATGGTGAATTCGGCGGATCAGCAGGAACACCAGCAGCACAATTCAGTGCAGGTTTCAACAGTCCTACAGACCAACATGGTGCTACTATCCAACATGGTGAAACCGATCCAACAGCTACAACGTCACAGATTTCCTCCTCACCTTCGGCTACATCTAATCATCTAATGAATGGCATTAGAGCCCCACTACAGAGCCAATCACTAACTGCTAATAGCAACGGCGCATCATTAGGAACATCAGCTATGTATAACGATGGAGTACCAGTAACAGAAGCAAATGGTGAATTCAGCGGATTAGCAGGAACACCAGCAGCACAATTCAGTGCAGGTTTGAACATGCCTACTGACCAAAATGGTGCTACTATCCAACATGGTGAAACCGATCCAACAGCTACAACGTCACAGATTTCCTCCTCACCATCGGCTACATCTAATCACCTAATGAATGGCATTAGGGCCCCATTACAGAGCCAATCACTAACTGCTAATAGCAACGGCGCATCATTAGGAACATCAGCTATGTATAACGATGGAGTACCACCAGCAGAAGCAAATGGTGAATTCAGCGGATCAGCAGAAACACCAGCAGCACAATTCAGTGCTGGTTTGAACATACCTACAGACCAAAATGGTGCTACTATCCAATATGGAGAAACCGATCCAACAGCTACAACGTCACAGATTTCTTCCTCACCAACTTCTACAACTAATCAGATAATGATTGGCATTAGAGCACCATTACAAAGCCAATCACTAACTGCTAATAGCAACGGCGCATCATTAGGAACATCAGCTATGTATAACGATGGAGTACCAGTAGCAGGAGCAAATGGTGAATTCAGCGGATCAGCAGGAACACCATTAAATAGTCAACCACTAGCCGACAATAGTAATGGTTTGTCATCAGACATGTATGATAATGTAGTACCAGCAGCAGGAACAATCGTAGAAACCAGCGGAACTGTAGTATCTCCAGACTCAAAGTTAAGTGAAGGTCTCAAATTATTTACAAAGCAAAATGGTGAGGCGGACCAACTTGACGAAAGCTATACACCATTAACAAAAGGAGAAACACCGCCATCGTCACCTTCTGTATCCAATCAGCAAATTCTACCACAAAGTGATCCCCAATCTGATGGAACTAACACCCAACAATTGCAAGACACTAAATTAACTACAAACAATCTTGTTTTAGAGACGGAAAAAGTTTTACCGTCAAGTGTCGCCACTAAGACAAACTCCACAACAATAGCGAAGAAAAAAGTCGACGAAATCACCCTAGCAAAATCTAGTACCAAAAAAACAGGTAAGAAAAAGAAAACTTCAAATAAAACAGACAAATCCTCTCCCTCTATTGCCCTAACAATGGACGATGAAGAAGATTCAAATGTGATAAGCCAACCAACCACAACAAAGTCATTGTCCACACCTACATCCGCGACAGATCAGCAAATAAATAATGACATCGGCTCTGTGGAAGGTAAGTCACCCTCAACAGGCAGGACTCAAGCTTCGGTATCTATAGACACCATCCGAGACAGAGGACTATCATTTGAAAATAGCGAGAATGTCGAGGGAAACACCAATAG